AGGGTAGGCCACAGGGTAGGCCACAGGGTAGGCCACAGGGTAGGCCACAGGGTAGGCCACAGGGTAAGCCATAGGGTAGGCCACAGGGTAGGCCATGGCCTAGGCCAGGTTTTGTCCATACCCCATGCTGGGCTATTGTTCTGCCAATTAGATCTATTGTTTTTCCACGTTCTCGTTGCCGTAGCCGTGGTGGTTTGCTTAAAGTCCCTATTTTTCTTTATAGTTGGCACAGTGTATTGAGGGCTTTAATCTTTTATTACGAAGACGTTAGAAAAGTTAATGATGCAAACAACCCAGCAATTCTCAGCTTTTTCGTCATTACCGAGAGAACCCAGTGAAATGCAGCGCATGCGAGGCAAGTCAAAAAATTGCGATTGAATGGAAAATTGCTTTCTTGGAAATATGTCTATTTCTTGAGAACCACTGATTAGAATTTCACGAAGTTTGGCACGAAAATACTTTCAATTGGGAAATAAATAACTGGAGTATCGAAAAAAGTTGATTTTTAATGAAGGAAACTCTAGATAATCGAGTGAACCTTCAACAAGGGATAATTAAAGATCTCTGTTAAATTGTTAGCAAAATGGTGTTAACTTGTGAGTATCGTTACAACCTCATTGCATGCAAATTATAAAGAAAAACTGATGACTAGATTTTCTACAAATGAACAAAACTGATTTTAAAGGCCTGTTTATATTTATTAATGTCGCCATGACAATGGGACATATGTCAGCTTAACTATCTAAAAAACAAAGTTTGTGTTGTTAACTTGCTTGCTGCCAGTTTTGGCAACCGAGAGATCAAGGGTTTTAGAGAAAATGGTGAAAGAAACACAGGTATCAAAAACTGTTTTCAGCCACCTTAACATGACCTGAAAGTAACAAGATTGTATCCTACTTTGGGATCTATGACAGAGAAGTTGTCAGAAAAGAAAAGGTTCATGATCTTTGTCCCATTGAAATCAGACTTTGCATGGGTAATCTCTAAAAATTTTACATTATAGTGTTACTACTTTGAACTCAAGAATGCTATGCTGTTAAAATTTCTTTTATATCTGACTGTATTTATTAACTTTAGAGCACAGTATTGTAACAGAGACTGGTAACAAGTATTACTACAGGAAGCTGTGTATCTGTACAGGAGGAACACCGAACCTTATTACCAGACATCCTTGTGTTATTGGCATTAGAGATACAGAGAGTGTACTACATTTGAAGAGCAAGCTCTCTCAGGCTCGTCGAATAGCTATTGTTGGAAATGGAGGAATAGCTTTAGAACTTGTGTAAGTTTGTAGGAATATCACAAGTTTACTCTTTTCTCTTTGAAATTGTTTTCCTTCTATAAGTTTGCCCTCATCAAAATGATTTCTCCCCAACAAATTTCAAGGAGGAGCTCTTTTGAGGTGGTCAGACAGTATCTGGTCGTCAGATTTGTAGATTTTCACCACAGTCCTTTCACTCTCTTAATTTTTCTTGAGACAAACATGTTTCTCCTTAAATGAAGTCATGATATATATTGAATCAACATGCAAACTTCTTGCTGTAACCCACATTTTGGCAAGTAAAACCTGTTAAGTAACAAGCTGGTCAATGATTGTTAGCCTATCACTGCAATGTTGAATTTTTGGGAAATTTCATAGATATGGTTGTTTTCTATATCCATGAAGCTTTCAGAAGGTGTATTGATTAATAAGAGTTCCTTTATGCAAAGTACCCATGTAAGAGAAAGATTTCTAAAAGCTGTCAGTCCACCCACCATCATGGTACCTAATGAAGTTTCCTGTCCACAGATATGAGATGTATGATTGCCAGGTTTTGTGGGCCATTAAGGATGATGCCATAGGGAATACATTCTTTGACGAGGGAGCAGCCACTTTCTTCCTTCCCCAAATTGAAACCAACCAACCAGTTTCTGAAGAAAA